TTGGAGTGCATGACGCAGCTAGGCACTTGGAAGGAGGGGTTGTTCGAGTCTGCGACATTGTATCAAGTTGCGAAACGTATCATTGAGATCGAGCATGGAATTTTGTTAGAGGAAAGAGGGCAAACCTTTACCAACAGTTTGAAATTTCTTAACTATGGGCGTAAAAGCGAAGCGTTTCCACTAGGAAGCAGTCGCATAAGTACTGTTTTGATCAACCACAGGCTTGAAATTAGTGGCGATAAGGGCCGTGAGTGTAGAAGACACATCACCTTTGGAGGAAAAGACCAAGAGGGACGGTTATATACTCGCACGGAATATGTTACTGTTTATAGCTAGCAGACTTGATTTATAAATCAATACATCATTGCTCAATTGATTTGCGAAGGTCTGGCAGCATGTAACTCTATTACCTCAGTTATTTCTTTTAGCCTACAATTCTCTGCTCGGACTCGATCAACAGTGGCTATGCGTCCTGATCAGCATTGAAGACAACTGACTGAAGTTGTTTCTTAAATCTTCATCGGAAACTTTATTGACAATTATCCCACAGGTCAGTTGCTTCCAGCTAGATAGCGACACTGCTATGCTAAGATTCAAGTACAGCCTAGCGGATGAGAACACACAGTGAGCTCTTGATTTCTTTTTTCCAGATGACGGTCAATCATATCTTGTGAAACAGGCTGGAATCACGGCTGTCTACGAACAACAACACACCCAAATTACACAACCACCCAGCTCATTGGTAGCCATGGGGGGGCGAACCGTCAACTCGCAACCGCGGGCCCAAAAACAAAAGAAACATTGTCTTTCGATAGAGGTTGGTATTCGCAGACCCAGCCTGAAGAAACAGACGAAAAAGCTTTGAAGTTGAATTCTCATTTGATGGTCTAAAAGCAAGAGTGTACGAGTTGTGTTGATGCTATCTGCGGTGTTTTTGCTGCTAATTAAAAGACAGCCTTCTGCGCACCGGCTTGGGGCTTCACATTAACAGACCTGCTATGCCCTCGAACCCTTCTGCTGCCACTTTTCCTATGCCCTTCCTCATTAGGTGTTGTACTGAGCCTTGACAACTACTCCAGCAATCCAGCATAGAAGCCTGCAGCGATGATGAGCATAGACCATACTACTAGTGCTACGATCCAATCTGCTGGGTGCTGGCCGACGTGGCTACACAGTGCAGAACAGGAATAACGATGCAGGCGCATCATTGCCGAAGTTATTGCTTTGTGCCGCAGTGAGTTGTCCTGACTCTGCGCTACAACTACGGGTCAACTCTCCAGCGCGTTTCTTAGATGTTCGGTCTGCGGGTCTTCTTTGGAGACACGCGGCCGTTACAGGCCTGTAAACCATATGTTCAGTGGTCAGAAGGCCGGGGCACACACGAGCAGGATCCAGGCGATTGGGACGGTATGGGAGCCATGGTTCACCCTACTTATCTTCCTCGCCGTTTCACTCGTTAGCCTGCTCCTCAGCAATGCGCTCCTGGACAGCAAGATACTAGAAGACCAAGATCAGCAAACGAGCCGCTAGTGAGAATATTAGCAATCAAAACATACAGAGACCACTGCGCGAGACATGGCCTCGAACGCTGAGACGAAGCGTTCCGCGTGAGCGGGGCCGAGCAACGTAACCTGCACGGGGGCAGTAGTGGAGTCAGCGGTAGGCGAGGGCGCGGACGCAGGCCCTGGGGGCTCCGGTGGTTGAGAAGGGGTCGCGGGAACATTGGACGCGGGCGGAGCACGCGGGGGAACAGCAGAGGCACCGGACCCGTAAGTCCGCAAGACACGCCCTGCATTACCGGCGGCGATGCGGTAGGCGGCCTCGAGCTATAACCAATCAGCAACAGCGCAGCGCATGAGCAGCTAGCGAGCAGGTGAAATGCGCTCACAGCATCAGCCTCCTCTATAGCAGTGCTGGTAGTCACGTTGTTATAGGCCGCAGCAGTAGCTACAAGCTCATAGTAGTATGGCATGATATTATCGTCAATCTAGATTGTATGAGCAACACGCGAACAGTGAGGTGCTAATGAACAGGATTCATACAGGCCCAGGACAAGAGTGGCTGCTGTCGGCGCACTGGGCACAGCGAGTGCCTGAGCCTGGTATGCGGGTTAGCAGGTCGCGCAAGCGGCTGGTAGGTGTCGTACTCAGCTGGTCGGCGCATAACTCAGCGTCAGGATCGCGGGCGAGGCGCCGGACGCAAGTGGGACAAGGTGCCGGGCGTGTCTCGCCGCGGTCGACCCTGGATTTGGTCTTGAGCTTCTTGTTCTTGGGGGCCTAATAGCGAGTGAGCTTGTGGCGTAGGGTTCAAAAAAACCAGTGAGCATATACAGTGGAATACGAAGCAGGGCGCTTGCGGCCCATAGAGGCGGAGGCGGCAGCAGTCGGCATTTGCAAGATTTCTTTCTTGGTTCATAAGCGGAGGGGATGCGAAGCGTACGCCAGCGCAGATTTGACAAAGGAACTTAGTAATACGTTCCACCATGGAATTAAGTGAAGCCGATGATGTTGTGGGTGGCAGGCCTCGCCGGCCCGTCACGTGGGCTGACGGCCGCCACCACTGGTCTTAGCCAGCCTCCACAGCCCTCTAGCCAGTTAGTTAGTTCTTCCAACCAACAACACCACTTTTCCCATTCTGAGCGTTCTGTGCCGGTTCTCGCCTATAGGTTATGAGCCTAGCGTTATTCTTTCGGAATAACGTCGTTTTACCTATTATTCTACTTGTCTATTAATTTTCTATTGATTTACGAATTTTTGCGATTTTATTCGCTTTATTTACCTTTCTATGCGATTTTCTTGCTTTCTTTCCTCTTTCGCTAACGAATTTCACTTTCTAACGCGATATTAGCTACCTAGCGCGTACGAATATCACGTAGCACGCGACCGACTACTATAACCTACTAGTTTTTATAAATACTACGGAATTCTACTATAACAACAGACTTTTAGTTATAACTATACTTTTACTTCGATTTCCTCGTTCTTACGAGAATTTAACTATTTTAGCTTCGGTTTTTTAAACTAGCTTATTAGTTTCTTATATCTTCTATAAGTATTTATTCTTCCTTTCGATTTACTATATTTCTATAGTTAGATCTTATAATTCTACCTATTTCTCGTATTCTTACGCAAGATTCTCCCTCCTATATAATATTTATACTTCTTTAGTACTATTTACTTATTAATACTTTCCCTTTCTAATAGTATATATAGGTAGTAGCGAAAGTAAGCTATCTAACGTATAGACACGCTTCTAAAGCTACGGCCTCGGAGAAACGCTTGTAATCGAGGTGCGACTATAAGTCTATCCCGTACTATTATAATACCCTTACTACTTTAAGATGTCTTAAAACGACTTTAAGACTATCTTTACGCTTCTTCCTTACTTAAAAGGTAAATCTAACTAGAATATATAGCATATGCTTATTATAGCGACCTTGCAAGGATACGACTTCGAGATATTCCTCGAGACTAACGTCCCTCGCCTTGCTAACCTTATCGCTATAGAGGAATAGAGAAAGAAACGTAACGTTATATATAGTCTCCTTATAAACGCTAGCGAATCGGTTCTTAATAGACTCTATATAGCAGGTTAGGTTAACGATAGAAACCTTACGAATTATAGCAGGCGCTTAAGAAGTATATTCCGAGAATCTTATAAGACGCTATAGCTACCTTTATTAATAAGTTTACTAAGACTAACGTACATGATAAGCGAGTGAGACAGACAAGCGAGTGAGACAGTAAACCAGACCTTCGCGACAATAATATCGAAATCTATAACAAGAAATCTTAGATTGATTAATACTACTCGGATTCCTGTTCTTCGGATGTTTCCTCAATAAATTGACATGTTCTCGCGTTGTGGCCTGTATTCCCGCATACGCCACACCGACGATGAGTCGTCTCAGACCTCACTTTGCGACCACTACTCCGTCGCGTTTCCTCTTGTAGTTGCGTGTCTGCCTCTCTTTGCGACTGTATATCCTCTCCAGTAGATATAGTAAGACTTCCTCCTTTCTGTAGACGTGTTTTCTTAGCCCTTCGACGCCGACTTAATATTGCATTCTCCTCTCGAAGGATTTGAACCTCTGACTCTAGTAATGCTACCCGATGCCCTAGTCCTTCTGTCCCTCTGGCTAGCTTACTCACAGCACTATAAATTGATGCTGGAGAGCTGCTTCGGTGGCGTGAGATTCGACTCTTAATAAAAGTAGACTGTGATCTTGCTTCGCTTGGGTTGCTCGGCGTCCTAGAGATCCAAGGGTCTGGTGTCTGAGGGACCCCCTCCTCAGGCGTTGGCGTTCGGAACTTTACATCCAGCTTTGAGAGAACACTTTCTGCATTCAAAGGGACAAGTCCAGCTCCTCGGAAACCTCCCTGGATATTTTTCCTCGTAAAAGACTGCTTAAAAGCTTCGTGAAATGCTGCAAAGAAATCTTCCTTCGAGATATGGGTTGTGCCTCGCCGCATCTTATTCTCAATTTGCCGACCGTAGGCATTCTTTAACGGCTGAAAACAACCAACATCTAAGGGTTGAAGTAGATGAGACGAGTGAGCCGGCATGCACAGTGTAATAATGTTGTTTTCTTGACAAAAGAGCTCGAAGGCTGCGGAGTGGTGACTTTCATGACCATCAACAACGAGGAGGCGATATTTCCCAGACGTACGTGGTTTTGTATAAATGTCGAAGTGTCTGATCCAGTCAATACCTCTCTCGTTTGTTGTCCATCCATTTTCAGACGTTGCAATAGCCCAATCGCCCGGAAGAGAGGTTTCTGTATACCAGCTTGAGAGGTGATACTGGCCTGCAACGATGATGTATGGCGGGATGCTCTCCCCTTGGGAATTAATAGCCTGGATAACTGTAACCCATTCCCTATTGCCAGGCTGTGTCATCTTCGTATTTGAACGCCTTTCAGCACTTGTAACAACCATTCCAGAAGCAATAACGCCCATCATAAAGCCGGTCTCATCAAAGTTGTAGATATCAGCATCAGCAATACCATACTTCGCAATTGTATTCTTCACAAGCGAAAACCAGCCACGAATCACCTCTGGATCTTCGCATTGAGCTCTCTTATAGTCATACTTGCGAAAGAAACGCGTCCTAAGCTATGGTTGTCGCTTGACGAAATTAGAAGCCCAGCGCTTCCCAACTGGAGGCGCGTCGCGCTCTGCGAGAAGTCGATTGGCCATTTCTTCCACACCACTCAGCCGGGGAGGAAATGATCGCGCATCTAGGTCGAGAATATACTCAACTATTGTCTTCTCTTCTAAATCTGATAAATTCCGTGAATTAGGCATGCTGTCGCGTCGTGAGACTATTCCCTTTAGTCGCCGGCTTAATGTTGCGTGACTGACTGTATAGAGTGCACCTGCGGCCCGAGCACTAAGTTTTGGGTCATTTCTCATTGCTTGAAGGGCAATTTGTAACCTTCTTTCAATACTAGCTGATTCCATGATTTATTGTAGAGGAAAAGGTGCCGGTCGCGTCAAGGTGCGACGGTCGCGGTTTACTGTCTCACTCGCTTGTCTGTCTCACTCGCTTATCATGTACGTTATTATTAATAATTATAAGACTTTTTATAATGCCTTTAATCGCTATTACTACCTTAGAAAGCGTATTAAGACTATTTATAATCGTCTACTAGACTTTTTCCTTACTATTTTCCTTTTTAACTTTTTTAAAAACCGACTTCCCGATACGTATAAGTATTTTATATCGAAAGGCGCTACCTATCCTACGTAGAATAAGGTAGCCGATACGATTTATATACTTACCTAAGATAAGGATTAAAAGCATAGTTATACTACTATTTATAATATACTTAGAAGCAAGTCTACTTGTCACAGTTCTATAAACAGTCATCAGGGGTACGTGATATCTCACGTACTAGCCGTACCCGTATAAGAGACGCCCTCGACAGCATCATCGTTAGTAGACTAACTTAATACAAGACTAACTGCTTATACCTACGTTTATCAATTTATCGTTATTTATTACCTTGTAACCGTTTATTTGACTTCTATACTATTCTATTTATATCTTTATTCTTATTACGGTTCCGACCTCTGCCTATTATAGCTACGTGCTAGTAGGAAGAACTATAATAAGTAGTAGCATAACTTAATTTCGATTAATTTTTTTCTCTTGATTTAACCGCGATATATCGCGGAGAATCTCGAAGGAAATACCCTACAAGCCTACTCGCTTAAAATCATAACCTATACCTCGACGTAGCTAACATAGACTTATACGATAAGTTACGTAAATAACCCGAGGTTAAATAACGGTCATCGCGAGACAGCAAGACGTCTCTTACGATATTAGGAGATATATCTTAATAATCCTAAAATAATAAGAATTTCAGACTCCTTTCGAGTATATATAAGTATTATAGCGTTTATTACGTAGAATATAAATATTAGCCGAATCGACGTTAGATACGACGATAGAACCTAGACTTAGGCAACGCAACTCGAAGACAGCTAGAGGATAGAGAATTACGACTATAACAAGGCGGTAAATAGCATCGCTAAGGCGATTATCTACGCTTAAGAACTCTAGGACCTTTAAGGATAATTCGGAGAACCAAGCTCGGAAGAGTTAGACATTACGAAAAGCAAGCAACCTATAAGAAATAACAAAACTACCGAACTAGCGCTAATAACGCTACTAACATAGCTTTAATAGCAAAAGTAATAACCTCCTAAGGTACTACTTAAGCATAGCTAATACAAGGGAATTACAAAGACCCCTAAAAGCTATAGTCAGCAGTATCGGATATAACCGCAAGCTAACCTTAACAAACTTTTCAACAAGCAAGACCGTTAAATTAATAATAATATACGAAACCGCTATAAGCCGAAGTTATTCCTTTAAAAACGGAAGCATAAGTTATAAAGACCCTATCGGAGGGAATATAATTTATACTAAGCCAGAGATAAAATCCTTAATAGCAATATATACCCCCCGGCATAGGAGGATACCTTCCCCCTTAGGGGTAGATACTATACCTAATAGTAATAGGATTTCTATCCTTCTAGACTCTACCGCCCCCTTAAATATAGTAGTAGTTTGAGGCAATGCTAATAAACGCGTTCGGAAGGCTGTTAGGCATAGTAACGCCGGGATCGGAACTACTAAACCTAGGAAGGAGATTCGCAGCTATAACGAACATTTAGTAACGATACGGAGTATTCTAGCCTGACGCCGATAGTAAGTATAGTAAGGAGCTTATATTCTACGACCGAGAGATACTATACTACCGAGACGTAGACCTATAGCTTTTAGCAATCGAAGCTAAGATCGTTAATCCTTACGCTCGAGACAAGGTCTTTAGAGAATAGCAAAGCCTACTTAGAGGCAAAGCACTTAGCTAGTAGGA